AGCAAAAATTTAGGACTATAACTGAAGCACCTCCCACTCTAGGGGAAGGGGGCTAGTTTGGTCACATGAACATTGCTAGAAGAGACATTCAACTACACTCACCCTCCCATTCTCCAAGCCAAGATAAAATGGTCTTGTTGACACAGGAGAGATAGTGCCAGCTGTCTAACTATGAAAGAAAAGGAGCAGCAGGGAGAGGGGATGACGGAGACAATTTGGGATCCAGCATCTGTTAAGTCACTGGGTTCCCACACACTGTTGCACCTCAAACTCCCTCTAACTTCCATGTGAAGCTGCTGTTGGCAAAATCATCCCAGAGATAAAGGCTCCATCTGGACCCAAACTGACCCACCTAGCTCTGCCAAATGAATCTCAAAATACGTTCTCCACCACAACTTCCCAGGCTGATAGTCTGCAAGCAGATTTTTTTCTGTGGTTTTATTCTATATACCAGTTAGAACTGCAAGAAACCAGAAGCCTAACCTGAAGCAGACTAAAAACCCAGGCCTTAAATTGGTCTAGTTAGACACAACCACTTTTTTTACAGGTACATGGCAACATAATATCCTGTTAAAAATGTAGCAGTGACCTCTGTGGTATAATAAGTGAAATACACTACTGCTTATTTAAATAGGTAGATTATACATGCTATTTAACATTCCCTAAGGTTATACAAAGCCTACACATTCCTGTTGTATTATCATTCTTTTAGAACATGTTAGATATATGCTTTATGAAGCAGAATTAATGCATTCTTTTTACTTTGCAGATGATGCAGATGGAAGGTGCCCCAGTAATCTGCAGTAGGCACTGCCCTTGCTTCTGTTTTAATGCCAGACAGTCACATACAGCAAGCTATGTGAGATCGGTTCAAGTAGAGATTTTGCACATGAACACAGTAATAATTCAAACACAGTAACAAAATGTAGATTCATTATATTTTGCCATAAAAGGCTTTAAGAAGGGACTAGCTTCATGAAGCTGCTATCAATTATGGAAATATGTAAATTGATATGGTATCACAGACTCATTTATTTAGATAACCTTTAAAAGCTTGACTGCCACATGCATGTGAGGTGAATGCTGCTTCTGCACCTAAAACAGACAATAGTAAGTAACTGTAAATGCTGGGGAACAAAGGTTATTTGTGTTCTCCCAGAAATATGAGCCCAAATTACATACCAAGTAAGTACTTCCATTTTTTGGATTAAAGTTCTAATCTAATGCTGTCCCACAAACCAAGAGACAAACTAAGGAGAAATGCTTCAAATTCCCAGATATGTCCTTGCTTAGACTATTAATTTTGAATAGAATATCATGTGGCATGATATTCTTGTTTGTTTCTTTAGCTCTGAAAACTCAATATGTACTTTCAATTTGGAATTTCAAGCTTTTCAGCTACTATCCTTCCCTTCTGAACTAAATCACACATTTTCTTCTACATGCTCCTGAAGCAAGAAAATGAGACACCATCTAGACAAAAACCCTGCTTCCATCATAACAAAGCCCCCAGAATACAAAGACATTAAAGTTACAACATCTTCAAGAGATGAACTTTTAAAGAAACACCCACCCAGCAGTACCTACAACTCAGTTTTTGTCAACATCTTCCTTCACATTAAATATAAAGCCTAAGCTATCAGATATTTCTGAGATGTCAGATGCCCTCACTATGAGGTGGAAATATGCAGCACAGGATTATGTTCAAAATTGCAGTTTTTAATCCCGATACCAGCAAAGCCATGTAGTCAGAACTCAGATACCACAGTTCTTACCGAGACTGGTGGATTTTCTCATGTCACCAAAGGTTTAAAGCATCTAAAACATTTGAAAAGGCTGATAGCCACCTCTTGTTAATTTTTAATCCATCATGTGCAAGTGCACATAACAGAAAAAAGCTACAATTTAAAGCAGAATTGCTGGACTGCAAACAAGTAACTGAAGTTGCAAGAAGTGTGTCACTACTTCGTATTTTGCAAGGTGCCTTTAAGCCACACACATCAACTTCAAGCATCTCATTTCACAGCTGCAGTGTTTGTGGCAGAGATCATTTCCCCTTTGATTCCACTGAAATGTTCCCTCACTTTTGAAATGCATAATCTGACACAGTACATATGTTTAGCAGGTAACATTTAAGAGCACGCTTTCTGCAGTATGCACATGGCAGACTGCTCCAGTCTCTCCAGAAGCCAGTATGCTGGTGTCTGGTTATGATTACTGCTGCCTCTGAGTAATACCACATGTTAATGATTCTGTCCTGCTCATGACTCAGATTAAGCGTGCAAAGAGCAGATAAAGCTGGCACCAGAGTTCAGTTAACAAACAGGTTATCAAGAGCCATAGATTCGGTTTAGAGCCAGCAGCAGCATTCTGCCTTGCCACATGCACAAGGGGGAGCGTTAGAAAACAGTTTTCCTCGTGTTCCTGCAGTAGCTATCTGTCTGCTTGAAGACATCTGTTCTTTCTTTCTGTTACCTTTTTTTAATAATAAAAAGACCACATGCAATACAAAGGTTAGTATGCAGTAATGCTGTGTTAACCAGCGAAGTACAAACATCTTGCACAGGTGTCATTAACCTTCTTCAGACATTTGTATGAAAGACTCCCAACAATTTCTCGGTGAATAATCTTGTTACAGGACAGAAGAAAGGACAAGTCTAATCTTCACAAAGCCTTTTACTTGTACTGGCTAACAGCCCAGCCAGAGACAAGAAACTGGGGTGCAGGAATACATGATGAATGCCTTCTCCTTCAGCCAGGGTTCTGGCTACTCATTGACAAGTTTACTGAATAACAACCTAATCTCCAATAAAGCACTTACTGTCTAACTCTTAACATGACATTTGTTGAAGACATTCATACCTTTCTAGTTTAAGGGTGCTAAGTAAAGCCATGTTGTCTTGCAGTTACTACCAGAACTGAATGAACATGAGGACAGTTTCTGGAGCAGCAGGCTCAACCACAGTTTTATTTCATTGCTGAACTAGGACTGACACAAGCTCTGGATTTACAGCATTTCAAAGTGGCATACAGAGGATGGTTTGACTTCCACTGCTCTACTTCTCCCCCATGCAGAAAGCTGTTAAGAGCAAAGCTCACATACACACAGAGCCCCAAGACATGTAAGGTTCACAGTTGCCTGTTGAGGAACTCTCCACACAAGCTCTTTTGCATGGATTCAAAGCCATGCCACAGGCAGCTACAGAACACATTAATTAACCCACATGAAGTTAATATTTTCAAAACAAATAATTCTTCACTTCCTTGCCAAAAGACTGCATTTTTTCAAATCCTACCAGGTTAAACAGCAAGAGAGAGGGAGGTAGTGTGGGGCAGGCAGTGAGGCACACAGGTTTTAATTAACAGTTGAAAGGTTTGAAAATAGCAACTCCTTTCTCTCAGTCTGTAGCAGTTGAGAAGTCCTCCTGACCACCACCATTTCCCCAGTCTGCAGCAAGCAGGATTCTCCTTACACACACCCGTGACAGAGGTAAAAGTTCAGACAGATTCAGATCCCTGCTAAATGACTATAATCCCATCAGTATAAACTATAAACCATACACACTGCCACACATCTAGCCAGTCTTCTCTTGCCTGTAAGTTTGTGCTTCTGAGAAGTGGCAGTATTCCATTCTCATATTGCTCAACAAAATCATGCATGGGGAAGTTGGATCAAAGGGTATGGCTTAACCCAATCGAGCAAATCAGTATTAGTTTGTTATACAGCAGTAATTGCTCCACTGCCCTATGGAAACAGTGGGTTTGGAATCATATCACAAATGGACCTACATGATTTTGGAGACTGCCAGTCATAATGTGCAAGACACTATTTTTAGAATAGCTGACAGATAAGGAAGCTGCACTATATTCTAGTCAAACCCATGACATAATAGTACTGTGAACTCTTGGTATTTTAACACTAGAGACAGGTGAGAAGGGAGAGGAACTAAATATGTTTAGCTATAAACAAACTTCAATGATAGATCTAAACTGAACACTGAGCTTCTGAAAAGCCTTTATTTTAAAATAAAGTTTAAAAATATCTATGTCATGCTGAAAAGCCACCCCTTTCTGTTTGTGGTTGTAGCTTTTTTACTTTGGATAATGTGTCCATCCACTGTGGATGTTGTAACACTGCCAAGAGACAGAAAAAATTTAAAATGCAATCAAGATGAGAAGCAAATTGAATCTGAGCTCTGAAAATCCTGGCATGTATGTATTATGTTAGGAATTTATATCCAGGACTTAAGCTTAATTTTCCAACTACCTTGATGACAAAAGTGCACAAAATTGTTTAATACTTTGTGTTACAAGTTAACAGGGGGAGAACAATCAAAATCAGTCTTTCAGTGTTACAAAGCTTGTCCTAGGACTGAAGGTAGTTGACCCTAGCTGACTTGGAACAACTTGAACTGAAATAGATTAGGCTGCAACTGAAGCATTAGAAGAATCGATATTATTATTAGTATCTAGGTCCCCACACAGATGCATCCCCTTGCTTCCCTCACACTTCCTCCCCACCCCTAGAAGATAGGAGAAATTAAAAGGAATATAAAAATTCAGGTTGACTTTGTTTTGTGCATATGGACCCATACACATTTGACCAGGGTTTAAGTTTATGGGTTTTGTTTTTTAAATAGGCTTTCCATTTTCATTAATTCAGACATACATTATATATTTTTATATGGCTTGCAATACTTCCAGTATAACTAAATTTAAGTAGCAGCATATTTTCCAAACCCACTTGTCAACAGGTTCATTTTAGAGAAGACACACAAGCCAACTACCATATTAAGTATTTGTAGGCACACTGAACATAAATTCTCTTCTTGTCCCAGTATCAGTGGTGTTCCCTTACAACTCCTACTGAGAAATCTTCAGATAAACATCCTACAAAAGCAATGTCTCTTGCGCAAAGCAGCCAAATAAATACTTCAAATTTTGTATTAGGTAACTTCACAGACCTTTCGTTGCAATTTAAATGGAAAGAGCATACTTACTGCTAGGAAGAGCATGCAGTACATGGAGAACGAAGAATGGCCAGAGTAAAATGATAGTCTAGAAGAGAAGAAAGCAGACATCTCATCATTTTGCTTTTGCAACAGTCTACAGTGATATTAATTTATCTTACACAAGTGAACTGGTAAATTGGCAAACATATCCATGCTTTTTTATTCATGTAGGGAGGCTAGCTAGGCACAACAGCCATTATGCATGTCTGACAACAGCTTCTGACGAACAGATTTCTCTACTCAGCAGATACCTTATTCCAGCATTAAGTTGATCTCCACATATAGGTAGTAACTACTAGCTCTCTGACTGAGCAGCAAGTAGACACATCCTCTAAACTAGGTATCAAATGTCCTTTAAAGCAGTATATTTGCTTCTTCATCTTAACACCAGAATACTGTAATTATTATCAATTTTAAAATTACTTATCTGATAGTCACAGTAGGTATATGAGAAGAAATGACACATTAATCACCAATTAATTTTAGTCACCATCAGGAGGCCATAGCATACAACTATCTAGATGTTTATACCACATACACATATGTATACCTTTGGTAAATGTACTGATTGATGCAGACCACTATCATCTGTCATTGAAGGGTCAGGGGAAAGGCTGGAAGGCAGTTCATTAGCCAGCCAACCACAAAAGACGACACTTCATCTAATATTTGTAGAAATAGCTTCATACTTTGCTATCTCATTTAAAGAGTGTTAACATTGCTTTCAGCTCAAAAGGGCTTCTAGCAGGTCCAGACTGAAGGGACTCAACAGTTGATGCTGACACTCTGGCATGCCTTCAGCAAAGTCCTCCCCTGAACAGGTGGTTTCTGAAAGGAGCTGAGTATCAGAGATAAAACAAATCCCACCCACCTCTTCATCAGGAAGAGAGGACAAAAGGAAAAGACATTACTAACTCCATCTTAAGAAGCAACATGAAAGAAACTGTAAACTATTTTTTCTATTTTATGCACAGAGCCTTGTAACAATGCTGCTTCACAGGTACCAGCCAGGCTTCTGTGCAATTTAGCTAAGTAACACAGCACTCCTGACTTAAAAGAGTTTGGCATATATAAACAAGACCAACTTAAGTGTCAGCCCTCCACCATATCCAGCAGTCCCTTTTTGATGCCTCAGGCAGGCAGAGAGCCTGAGGCCATGGAAATTCCTGGTCAGGGGAAGCATTTCTACTCTTCAGGTATGAAGATAGTAATGAAGTAATTAAGGCAGCTCTGATGCCCAGTAAGATAATTGGGTTTAACATTCACTACTCAAATACCACACAGAAGAGAATAAAACAAACTTGTGCACAAGTGAAACTGCACAACTTCCTGCATTAATTTTCACATCTAATATCATGAAACTGAATCAGGCATCAGAAAAACCCACATAAGTTTCCTCTGCACGTTTTAGAATTCTTGGCTTATAGTTGATTCAAAGCACAGCCAATAAATAGCTTTTCAGTTTCAGAGGTACTAAATAAGAAGTCTTGAATGACTACTTTTGTGGGGATGTGAATATATATAATATCACAGATATTTTAAAATTCAGTTCTTAAATAGAAAAACTGTATTGACAATGTGTTATTCATGTTAATATTCAATTATCAATTGAATAGCAATGTTAATATTCAGATGTTTAAAATTCAAAAACATAAGATTACATTTTAGCTACACATCTCCACTTTAGTACTCTTAACTCTTCACCAGTTAAAATCTCTGGGCAAGAATCCACTGTGAAAGCCAATAAGCATTTTGAAGATCTCTGTCTTTCAGACAAATGTGTCATCTGAGCCATGAAAGCAGAGCATGTTCTACAGAACAGAAGATACAGAGTAAGGAATTTGTGGCTCCTACAGCAATATTTTATCCACTGACTTTGGGCCTACTGTTATAGCTCCAAAGAGAGTGGACACCTGTTGTCCATAAGATGACATTTCCTATAATTCCTGAAGGCATCCTGTTACCAACTGAAGGAATACAGAAGGCTAAAAATCAAGAGAAGGAATAAATGCAATTCTTAAAGTTTATTTTGGAATTCCTATACCATTTTAAAGGTGGTATACTCAGGTTTAGGTTGATGTCACATTAGCCCAATGTAACATTAAGAACATGTTGTTCCAAATTGAAGATTAAAAAATTTGAATGCATTCTCATCAGGCATAGATAAGTATGCTGTACATGATTGAAAGTGTTGTGCTTAGCACATAAAGTATTGCCAGAAATACAACTGGGACAAAGTATTGATCCAACTTGTACATTGTGCAATCCCACTGAAATTTCTTTGGCAATACTGCTGATTCTAGCTTTCTTTAAAACACAGACATTTTAAAAAATAATCTTTAAACCCTTTCAAACCCTAAGCTTGACAATGGAAAAGTTTACCAGCAATTCCTCAGCACGCAGACAACATCCTCCCAAAACCAGGAGAACATCTGTCTATCAAACCAGCCAAGCGGCTGCATAGCCCAGGCTTCTTTGTGATCATACTGCAAGTACTGGTTTGCCATGAGACAGCATTTATAAAATAAATACATTTTAAATTAAGAAATTAACCACTCTTTAGTAATCCCAAGAATGCAGAAGTATTATAAGATACAGTAATAAATAAAATGGTACAGACAACTCTCAAAACCCCTACCTTTTGCTAATGAAAGAAAAGCTAAATTATCCCAGTAGGAGTTTGCACATCAAATTCTGGGACATCTTTTCAAAATTAATATTAGAACAGTATCCAGTAAACTGTATCATGAAACAGAATCGGTAACTGCAAAACTTGTTTTGATTCTTTCCAAAATAGCAAAATCTGACGTCAAAAGAACAGCTTTTCAGAGATCTATGCTTTTATTCCATCAATACCTACCTCACAGATCTTTTCTGGTGTGAAGAACAAGGCTTCATTTTAACAGGAAAAAACATAAGATTTAGTTATTTCCACTTGGGCAATATATTACTACCAAGTCAGAAGAATGCCTTAAGTAGTAATACGAAACCAGTTTCAGGTCTCAGTTGAGGTCTACAGTTTCCATCATATACAGTACCACTGCACATCTCAAAAAGGTCTAAACCAAGGTAATTTTAAGGGCTGTTCAGCTTTCTCGAAACTTAGAAGTTTTGCCACAAATTTCACATGGTTTATGATAAAGAAAAAAGTAAAGACATTATACCTTCTTAAAAAGGTTGCCAGAAGACTGATTACAATTAATCACTACACTTTGTCACTGTACATCTGTGTTTTTAAAGATTACCTCGGAAATTTGTATTTTATACGAAATAATTGAACTGAACCACACAGTACTTTTAGCCAGGACTTCTAATCCCAGGATAGCAAGTCTAAGTAAGATTGCCTTGCAGGACTTGACACTGAAAACCATTTCACTCTGTTCTATTCCTTTCCATGCACAAAAGCAACTTGGCCTAGGGAGCAGAGCCTGCTTGATAGAAGGTACCATTTCTTTAATTTGTAGAAGAATGAAACAATACACACAGCAAATAAAAAGATCATTTGTCTTACACTGTCACAAGAAAGCATATTTTGTAGAGTGCATTATTTCATAAGGGAATTACTGAACAGTGGAGCTCAATAAATAAGCTTCATGTCTTCTCTCCATAGAATGCCTTTGTAAGAACACCTGAATACGCAAAAACATTTAAGCAAAGTGCAGGAATCTGACAGGGAATTAAATATTGGAACATTTCATACAAGAGAAGTTATTTTAATGCAAAGTAACATTTCATGATAAAATTATTCCTAGTACAGGAAGGGGGTGGGAAGACATATGATTGTTAATAAAGATGGTTAACTTCAAGGAAATGTCCAGTCTCATTTTAGATTTTAAAAATTTCAAAGCAAACCAATTGCAAAGGCTATTTAATGAAACAAGGGAAAAGAAAACTAATCACAAAAATTAAACTAAGGCATGAGGTTTGGGTTTGGTGTTTTTCTGGGAGTTTGGTGGTTGTTCTTTTGTGTTGTTTTTTTAACAGAGTTATAGTTTTGGAGGCATTCACAGAACAGACAACTAAGCATTTTAAAAGTTTGGTTGAACTTCAAAAACATTATACAAGTTAGCCCCATACCAGTTAATCTAGAACAGGTCCCTAGCTACTGGGAACTGCTCCAGGTGATTTAACTGCACTCACTGGCATGCATGAATACAGCCTGTGAAAGAGCTCTAAACAAAGCTGAAATAAAATTCCTGGCAAATGATTGGTAAAGGGCACCACCTTGGCAATTGTGTTGAAATAAATTATCAAGGTCAAAACTGTCAGCTCTCATTTCCTAAAGACTTCTTTGAAGATTACATTTTGAGTTTGCAATGGCAGACAACACACAGCTTGTTTTGAGTGCAGCCAGCATGTGAGCAATAGATCAACTTAAGTAGGGAACTGTTTTTTTCCTCTGGACATCTGAGTTGTAATATGAAGCTGTACATTAGTAATAAAATTATAATTATGAAACAGCTTCAGTATCTGTTATCACAAACAGAAAAAAGTGACAGCCTGAAATTAGAGAACTTCAACTATCCAAAGTTAAATTCAACTTCAGAGAGAGTGCTTCTCACACATACACACTTGATAGCTGTGCAAGTCTGCTTTGGAGTCTAAGAGAGTTCAGACTGCAGAGAGTGCAGCTGAAGTGACTTGCACAACATGGCTTAATATTTACCACTTCAGATTAAAAGGTTTCACTTTTGTGTATGTGCTTACTGAGCTGACAAACCAAAAGAGGGACAGCTCTTTGGATCTCCTTAGTCACCAGGTTTTCAGTGTTCCTCCAAGCCCCGAAACTGAATTTTCAGGTCCCACCCCAACATCCATACTCAGTAAAAAAACCTAAAAAATGATAGCAAAAAAATATTTTTAGAAGTCACTGATTGCATTAAGACAAACCTGCACTGCTCAACTAAACTGCAATAAATACTGCATCAAAAAATCTGCAGTAGACTCAGGAAGCCTGAGCAGGTAGATTAAGATCCCTTTAGCACACATCCAGGACTACTACACATGGAAAAAAAACTCTTCACACTGTACAATAATGTGTGCTGA